TGGGGTGGGACTCTGCTCTCCTCGCCAGCAGCTGAGCTCCCAGAGCGAGCAAACTTCGCGGCACGGCGCTCGCAGCAGGTTGGACCCCGGCAGGCAGGGCGCTGCGTTTTTGTGTTTGGCCGGAGCCCATCCTGCCTCCCTGTAGGCAGAAATCTAGCATTCGTATCTTGGATGGCTATTAAGGGAACTGAAAATATTTGTGTTACTAATGCATTGCTTATGTTAACTGCAGCGGCAAGCACAGCGCTTCCAGGAGGCAGAGCGGCCCCTGCCCTTGCTGAGCTCCACAGCCCAGCCAGGAGTCGGCCCGCATGGCCTTACTCCGTAGCCTGCATTTTTCTGAGACTTCATGGTATTTCTCTCTGTGTCCTAATGGCAATCTGTGGCCCAGGAGGGGACATCCAAGCTGCCTTCTGTAGCAGGTGTACAAGTTTGTGACTGCTGCAACCAAATGCAAGTTGTCTCCTGACCCCCCTGAGCACGATGGTTCGTTAGCCTAACCTAGACCCTAAAGGCAAACTGGAGGCACCTGGAGAATGCCAGTGCAGTTGGTAGAGAGCTGTCGTGTTTTGTAAACCACTGAGCTGTCTGAGAGCAAAATTGCTCTAACAGTGCTGGCACAGAAGCTGCTCTCTACCCACCAGCCCTTGAGGAGCATGACCCACCATATGCTCCTTGCTGAGCCATCTCCTGATACTTCTCATTTGCACAGACCAAAGAAGCTGGAGCAGTTATCAGGGCTTCAGTGCTCTAACTTCACCCTCTTTCCTCTTGCAGGGCCTGGCAGTTACACTGTGGGCACCATGTCGGAGCGCTTTGACTGCCACTACTGCCGCGACCCTCTGCAAGGGAAGAAGTACGTGCAGAAAGAGGGCCGCCACTGCTGCGTCAAGTGCTTCGAGAAGTTCTGTGCCAACACCTGCACTGAGTGCAAGAAACCCATCGGAGCCGACTCCAAGGTGAGGGCCGAGCAGTTAAATGGGTGATGAGAGGACGACAGGCAGATGCTGATCACCCTCCCATTTGTTTTGCTGGCTCTGGTCTGTTTGTGAGCTGCTGTGTGAAAACAAGTTCTCTTGCGAGTCCTCTGGCCGATGGGCCACGTGCTCCTTGGGCAAAGAGCCAGGGGCTCTGGGGCACTGCAGTAGGGGTGCTTGCGATGGGCTGCTTTTGCACAGGAGCTAATTTCAGGATCTAGATCCAGCCACATAAACGGCTGCAAATGCTGAATTGTCCTGAAGAGTACTGCAGGTAATGCAGCCTGCGGAGGATGTGCAGAAAACTCATCTTCTGGGCAAAGCACTTGGGAAGCCAGGGTCTGATTTTTGTCAGTTGGTCAAATGTTTATTGCTTCGTGTTTATGGCAATAATAACGTACACTGGGAGGGAGCCTGACAACCAGAGAAGCCCATGCTTACAGAACCTCAAAACCAAAGCTGTTGGTTTGAAGCATCTCCTGCTACCCAGAAAGTCCAAAATGAATGTGATTCTAATTAAACCCTGTGCGTCAGTGAGTTTGGTTAAATGTCCTTTCCTTCACTGCTTGCTGATGAGGTGCACCTCCAACCATTGAATGCAGACATGCTTGGGAACTAACAAATCTATTGCTTACTGCCAAGGCTGTAGCTTGGTTTTAGGGCTGCTCAGCCAGAGAGGGCTTATTGCTCACTCCATTTCTGTTCGTTCCAGGAGCTGCATTTCAAGAACCGTTACTGGCACGACAGCTGCTTCCGCTGCTTCAAGTGCTACACGTCCTTGGTCAACGAGCCCTTCATGCTAAGGGAGAACAACAAGGTCTGGTGTAGCAACTGCACTACCACTGCGGATGCGCCCAGGTGTAAGGGCTGCTTCAAGCCTATCATTGCAGGTACTGGTGCCGGTGATACGGGTACGACTGCCGAGTTCTGCTCTAGGGCAAAACCATGGAGGTTTCTCAAGCTGCGGAGGCTGCCGTTAGGGGTACGGGCATCACAGCGGAAGGCTGGAGCACCCCAAAATGGTGCAAGCTTTGACTGTTGCTCTCACCTGTCCATTTCATGCAAGTGGTGAAAGGCTGCTTTGCAGTTAACCCTCATGTGGATACTTCACCTTAGTCGTTAGTCTCAAACCATTTCTACCAAAAGCTTTGCTCTGTAGATCAAGGTCCTCTTCTCAGAAAGGCTCAGGCACCTGCCTGACAAATATTTTCAGAAAATCTAGAAGGCCCTGGCTAAAGTCAGATACAGAAATTAACAGCTCATCACTTACACGTTACAATTGAGTCCTGGGCTTAGGTACGGACAGGTCTTGCCTACAGGTCTGTTGTTGCATTGCACAGGGCGGGGAGTTTGTCACAAGCCTGAAATCCCACGTAACGAGTTATTTCTGTCTGTTGTAGGAGACCAAAATGTTGAGTACAAGAAGATGGTCTGGCACAAGGACTGTTTCACTTGCAGCCAGTGCAAGCAAGTGATTGGATCTGGGAGCTTCTTCCCCAAGGGCGATGACTTCTACTGTGTCTCCTGCCATGAGCACAAGTTTGCCAAGACCTGTGCTAAATGCAAGAATGTAAGTCCTTCCATGTAAGCCCTCACGTGTCTTTTGGAAGCTAGGAGAGTGAACCAGTAGACAGATCATGGTGGAGCTATACCAATGCTTACCTTCTTTCCTTGAGATACCGGTGCCAGCAGCTGGTGGTATAATAATGCGAGAGCTAATGGTTCTTGCACGTTACAGTATCCGAGCCGGGGCTGTAGGGCTATCTGATGGCAACTCTGCTGAAACCAAGTGGGCTCTGGTCTCGCACTTGCTTTGGTGATGGTTTGAGCTTTCTAGTAGATGTTGTGTATTCAAGCAGTAAACCAGTATTTTATAAAATAGCTGTGTTACAACTTTTGCAACTGATTAGTGTAGAATTGCAGAGTCACTGCAGGTAAAATAAACTACTGTGAAAGCTCCAGGCACGAGGATTTCAGGCTAGAGGAACTCAAGTGCGCTGCACTATTTAATGCAAACTTTCAAGAGATTTTCTCCATGACAAAGCCCTCCTACCCTCCACTCCATGCCTGCATCACCTCTCTGCCTCCCTACTGATTCTGAAACACATCTCTGCTCTTTGCCTCCTAGCCCATCACTTCTGGAGGCCTCACTTACCAGGAACAGCCTTGGCATTCAGAGTGTTTCATTTGCTCCAACTGCAAGAAGCAACTGGGCGGGAAGCGCTTCACAGCTGTAGAGGATCAGTTTTACTGTGTTGAATGCTACAAGGAGTGTGTTGCCAAGAAGTGTGCTGGCTGCAAGAATCCTATTACAGGTATGTTGGATTAAATGCAGCTTGGGGGCAGCGGGTGCTTAAGGTCAGAACAGTGATCCCCAAAGACAGGCTGCTCACACCAGAAGCAGGGCTAGTATCCCAAGCCCAACCCCAGCAATTTACCCATGATCTGACTAAAAGCCATGTGCTCTCATTGGATGGAGTCTGAGTTAGTAACTGAGCTCTTCACCCTTTGCATGCCTCAAATATAGCTCCTTCAAAACTTCCCCAACTAGGACTGTCCCCACCTATAGCTTAGCCTAGGAACCTCAGGTCTAAAAAGAGCAGTGTTTTATTGCCCCCAAGTGACATTCGTTTCACTTCTGATGTATTTCACATGTAACAGTTACTGGACTGCAAAGCTCAGCCCTGCAACGTGGGCGTTATCCTGCCAGTCCCATGGGACTTGCATTCCATTATTCTGCATTTTAGAGCATGGATCTGAGCCCGTAACAACGAGGCAGAGCTTCAGCCCCAACCTGTCCTTGCTCTACATCTTGATCTTTCCTTCAGCTTGACTGTTTCCTGGAGAAAGGATCCAAGGGAAAAAGCTTATTGCAGAGACAGGCCACACAAGCCTTATGCTAAACTGCCCGTTTCTGGAAGAGCTGTAATACTGAGCAGCAAACACTGGGGTTGAGTTGCAGACCGTATTTGTATGCCTAAAATACTAGCCAAAACTGCAAGACTACAGAAGCACAGGAGGCACTAAGAATGGTATCTGCTGTTTGGTGGGCTAGCCCAGCCACGGGAAAAGCTACTATCGCCGTCCTATAATTGTTTTCTCTCCTAGCAGGATTTGGAAGAGGAACCAGTGTGGTTAACTACGAAGATGAATCCTGGCACGATTATTGTTTCAAATGCACAAAGTGTGCCCGTGGTCTGGCCAACAAGCGCTTTGTTTGCCATAATGGAAAAATTTACTGTGCTGAGTGTCCCAAACGACTGTAAGGAGCAGACAGCAACTGCTGTAAAATGGATTTTAGAGCCCTGCTTTCCAAAACAGTCCTGGTAAAGGAGCAGGTTTTTGCATGTTAAAAGCTCTAACTTTTTCCATTTTAGTATAAAAACTAAAGTAGCCTCAGTATACTGGGTTTGACTTTTGAAGCTCCTGCAGTATGATAGCATGTAGCGTTGCAAAAATCTAACTTTGCTTCCAAGTAACTCTTAGCGTAAAGGCTTGAAATGCCGTTACATTTAGCATTAGAGATCCACATACTACATAATCCACGTGTGGCTTAAACTAAAACAAAACTAGTTTTAAACTTGTCTCGTTTACAGCTTGGCACTTAAATGAAGTAGGTTTGACAAGGCATGCACCTCAGAAACAGAGATGCAAAGATTGCACCCGGGATCAGAGAGATCCATTATATGCTTTTACAAGTACAGGTACATTACATACATCGCACCCGTAATAGCAGCACAAGAATAAATACTTTAGCTTACCCTACCACACCAAACTGCAGCAAGTGTATGGAATGGCTTCATTTTACATATAACAATGTTTTGGCAGTATCATTTAGCTTTAGTTAAGTTTCCATAAACTTATTTTAGGTCTTGATTTCCGCATGGTTTGCCCAAAAGTTTTGCTCATCAGCTTTTTTTACATCATTGTTTAAATGAGGCTGTCTATATACAATTATTAATCCATTAACAAGAAGTAAATCATTCAACTACAACAAAATGCACACGCATTTAGAAGTGCCTTAAAAATAGCTCAGACAACGATAGCTCTCTTATCATGTCAGTGTATGTTTTATGATTTAATAAAAGTGAGACTAGTGCCTGCTTGGAGTCCTACAGTCTGGAAAATTGTTTTTCATTTTGCCATCTTACACGATTGACACCTCTTATGCTTGAGCTGCTGAAATCGAGTCTGATGCGTTGATACTGGCAAAGCAGAGTCAGCTGTTCTGCCACAGCGCCTTTAAACATCTGAGGACCAAAGCAACAATTTCCATAAACTAATTAATTTTTTTTTTTTTAATATATAACTGACACTGGACCATCTGCCAAGAACAGCCTGTGTGAAAAAGCCCTTTGGAGAACATATGCCTAGCCCCTCTCCAGACACAGATCTGCTACTGCCCTTCAGCAACCTGAACGCTGGTTTAAGCGTCTTTTTTTCCACTGCAGTGGTTGATACCATAGAGAAATATTTATTAACTGGATGCTGCTCCAGTCATTCCCTTTTGTTCACAAGCACCTGCCAGAAACAAAGAACCCTCACAAGAAAAGCAAACGGCAGCATCTTGCTGTATTCTTGATGGTCACTGCTCCACCAGGGCCAGGGAGCACTGTTAGACTCACGGTTAGAACATGAAGATGCTGGCTCTACAAGTAAAAAGCAAAGGCTTATAGTGAAAAGCGAGTTAAAGAATTCAACAGTTACGAACACGTCATCGGCGTGTACACACGCAGCAAGATCTGAAGGTGTTAGTACAAATACCTTCCCAACCACACGAATGCAGCTGCCACAGAGGCGACTAGTTTTGGGAATCTGCAGCGTGGAGCAGTTAGAGCAGCACCAGAGCGCGTCTCAAGGCAGGTCAGCATGGCAAGGGGTTGGAGACTCCTAGTAAGGTAATGTTTAGCATTACAGAAATAAAGCGTTGTTTGACTGCAAAGTTTATTTAACAGTGCGCACATATTTACATGGAGCTGTAACAGACCATTCAACAAATAATATCAGCACAGGAAAAATATCAGCATCTTTTTTGTTAGAATGATTGTCTCTGCCAGAATGAAACAGCCATCATACAAAAATACATTTTTCTTTTTACCTAAGGCACTGCTCTAAGGTCTAAAACAGTTCTACCGTATCCTGAATAGCAAACAGTGAGAGTAAGAAGGCTGAGGGTTTCCTATTGTAACTGCGATGTCAAGGAAAGAACACACTTAGTTCCAGCAAAACCATTTGCATTTAACCACGGAAAACACAGCTGCCATGTGGATGATGCATTTGAAATATCAGCCCGTGGTTTATAGCAGGATTTGAGAGCGCTATTTTTTACAGTAATCACTTATCCAGCATATCTGTTACAGGAGACATAAGAACAAGACTGCATTATTACTTTTAGTAGCCATTTTCAGAAGATGTGTAGTTAATCTCTTCATGCTGTGAAAAGCAGGCAAGTTTAGGTTAAATAGATGACTTAATGCAGGCTTTAGGGGACGGGAAACATATGCAGCTTGCAGCCACCGTTATAAAGCTAGAACAGGAACACTTAGAATAATTAACATGAACAAAACATGACTTCAGTGGTCTAATACTGTTATGTACACAATAAAATAGTACTTCCATGAGTGTAGATAAACTTAAATAAGTAATTCAAAAGGAAAACATTTTTAAAAGCATGACATGTTAAACTGCACTATGACAGACATATCTAGGTACTCAACATTTTTGTAATATATTAGTGCATATACTGTAAAATGTTTTGATGTTTTCCAACAGATTAAAACATATTAGCGATGGTACAATACTACATTTTGGAACTGCCAATATTTTCATGGTAGAAAACAAGGAATTTTTCTTCTCCATTCAAAATTGAAGATAGTCAATTTTGTGTTTTCAAATAGCACATGAACCAACAAGTAACAGCGGTTTTCTAGAACACGACAAAGGGAGTTCAGCTTTAACACACACTGAATGAGTCTTTGATTTCATCAAGTGCCATTTTAGGAATATGCAAAATCTGGCCAGTAGCTAACTGGGGAGCCTCCAATGGCACGTTGCTGTACCTGACACTGGTATGAAAATAAAATTAAAAAGAAAGACTCAAACAGGTTACTGTACAGTCTGTAAAAGGGAAACAAGTGATATTTAAACAAGGCAATCTTATCTAACAATTAGCTAAACAAATGGAACAGGAACATCAGCACAGTAGTTTCCCTGAAATGTTTCAAGGTGCAAATCTAGAAGTTTGTCATCCCTCCCCTGGTGTTTTTTGTTTTTTTGCAAACTTGAAGATGGATAAAGGTAAACAAGCAGCTTTTCAAAACAAGGCCTTCGGTACTTGGTAAAACACCGGATTACTGAAGTGCAATCAGGTTATTTCCAGGTCTCTAGTGTTCACAGTTCTGTCCAAAGAGCAAAGAGAAGAAAACGTTTAACCATCATAGCTGTGTGTATGGCGCACACGTCTATCATCACTGTCAGAGCCTACATCCAGGGAGTGAGCACAGAACCACTTGGTTACTACAGTCCAAAATCAGCACAGTAGCTTTTCTTTTTTTTTATATACGAATATTAGTTTTCAAAGTTATGTACATAATTCTTAAACCATATTAAGTCTAAACGTTTTCAAGTTCAAAATTAAAAGGCAACGCTTTCTTCACTAAAATGTTAATGATTTTCATCAGAACAAAATGTGATTAGCAGTATCACATTAAATCCATCTATTCCCATGGCCCAGTTAGTCGTGGCCTCAAGGAAAGTCTCAATAACGCTATGTCCGTGGGACTAAAATTCACAAGACGCAGAGTGACAGAGGAGACTCAGGAAACAGTTCAGTCTAGAAAAGTGCTACACTTTAATCAAAAAAAGTGCTACACATCACTGAAAGAAAATGTGGATAGCAAGTCTTGTTTTTTCCACTACCATTCATTTCAACTGTTCACACAGTCATTCATCTCACGGAAAGAGATCTCCTGCTGTGAGCATGTCCATTTGGGGTTTAGCTCCAACACCAGAGAAGTTTAGTCTTACATCAGCTAGCTTATTGAAGCCTCTCTGACACGCTATGCTGCACAGCATCAGGGTCTGGCTTCTCAAATACACGTGGCTTCAGATGCAGCCCTGCTTCTTTCGGAAAACTCAGAATATTGTGTGTGCAGCTTTATTACTCCTCCCAAAATGTAACACAACCGCCTGTGGAATTTAAGGTTGGTGTTACCCGCCTCAGTGAAGTGGAAGACTATTCTACCGTAAGTAGAGAGGACAGCTACTATACCTTGCCAGAGCCTGAAGAGCCCTTGTAAGACCATGCAGGTCAGCATCAAAAAGTTATAGAACATGCCTAGGAGCGGAAAGGTCTTGTCTGTAGAGTTACATCAGACACCTTTTAAACTGTTAGTATCTTCAAAAGTAACACGTGCCATTTAAGATATCTTAGAAGAAGCTTAAAATACAACAGATGGGCTTGAGTGCTGGTAGGAGATACAGGAGTTTCACAGGGGTGCAGCTGTGTCTTTGGAAGAGCCTTAATGTTGGGCCTTAGCTGCTGTCTAGAGCAAGTCCCTAAGAAGGCATCAGTTGGCGACTCCTTTTGACAGAATGCAAGTTACAAGCGCTAAAGAAAGGGCTTTCGCTCCGGTCTACACATTGGAAAAAGTGCCTTGAAAATAAGAAGCAGCAGTTAAGGCAAGGAGAGTAAAATGCAAGGAAGTTAATTACCTAGCCAGAGGAAGAGACAGATAGGGAAATCAGCTTGGATTACCTGATGAAGCATCTATAGGTTTGGTCAATGAATTCACTGCACCATCTTCATCAAAAGCCAATTTGGGACTAGAAGGTATTGTAGCAGCATCATTCAAGTTTTGATTACAGTTACCAGCAGAGATGCTGTCCGAGCTCAGTTTGGTTGACTTGGAATGTACTCCAACGTCAATAAACTCCTCAAAAGTCCACGAATCAGATTTTCCATTAAGATTCTGAATAAGTCCAATTGTATGATCAGCTTCGTTAACACCCAGCTTCACTGAGTCATTGATAACCATTTCTTTTGCAGGATGGCTAGAAAAAAAAGGAACGGATACTTGTATTACAATTTCTGCGTATTTAACCTTTAGACTGATTACAGGCCAGCCAATTAGCAGTCTGCATACTCTGCAAAGCACTGAAGGGCATTCCCAGACAAGCTCCTCCAGCTGCCACGCAGGATCTCCCCTCCAAGAGCCAAGGGAGAACGACTCCTCACCAACATATAGCTGTTTTTTACTATATTAGT